GGGGATGTGCCTGCAACCAAGGTACATGCCCTTGACTGGAATCGAACCTGGGACCCTTGAGTCCGCAGGCTGAGGCTCTATCCACTGAGCCAAACCGGTTAGGGCTGCATTTTCTTTTATATATAAAGTTTTCACGGTTCCAGACTAACAGAGTCAGCTTATGAAGTGGAGCTGCCCACACAGAGAACCAGAGAGAATGCCTGTTGAAGGGCCAAATTGAATATTCAGGGAGGATGTCAGTGTGTGGGAGAAGCATTTGTTCAGACTGGATCTGAGAGGAGCTGTGTGTCGTGTTTCCATAGGTTCTCAACAGGAGGTGTGTAGAGGCGGCAGTGATGACAGGCCTGGCACTGAACTGCCACATAAACAAGAAGTCCTTGTTTGACAGGAAGCACTACTTCTATGCAGACCTCCCTGTAAGTATGCTTTGTGATCGCCTTCTGTAAGTTCTCAGAGCTGGGGGGGTTGGAGCAGGGGAGGCGGGCTGTGCCTCACATGTTTCCCATCAGAGGTCTGTCCATCGCAGCAGGAAGGTCTGCCCGACCTGATGAAGGCAGGTGCCCCCCGATGTTTACTAGATTGGATGCAATTGTCCTGATTGCTGACTCCTTGCTTAGCCTCATGCTTCTGGTGGCTCGCTCATAATTGAACGGGGAGTAGAAGAAGCCAGTGTTCCCAGGCTCAACCCAGCCGTGGTGTTTGGCGCTAATTGCCTGTTAGGACAAAAGCTAACTCTGGGGCTGATGCAACGGTAAATGCGGTAAATGTGTACTGTAGTTCTGTAGACACAGCGAGAGCTTTCCTCTTTCAAGTTGAAGTTCCCAATAATAGGACCGTCACCTTTGGAGACATTTCTGTCATCTCACAAGGAGCAAGTAAGTGGACGACAGAAAGCAGAACCATGCGCCTGAAGCCTAGACTTACAACAGGAATTGGCTGAGCAGTAAAGCCAATGTTAACCTGCTTTTTCCTTAAAATTAGAAAGTGTTTTTCTTTTAGAGAAGCCAGTTTTTTTTATAACATTGAACAGAACCAAAACTGCAGTGTTGAATGGGTTTCCCCAAATCATGTTTATTTGATCGGAGCCTCTGATACTAAGTATGGCCCTTCTTCGGATTAAAAAAAACAAAACAAAAAAACCCCACAAAAAATGGCGGTGAGGATATTGCTCCCCATTCTTCTTGAACTGGAGACTGGGGTGAGCTGCTTTTTAGTGGGTGAGAACGGGAGGAGAATTAAATAAAAAATACAACTAGAACCTGAATTCTCCAGCTGCTGCTTGGACCCTCTGGCTGCAGCCTTTTAGCAGATCCTCCTCTTTCAGAGGATGGAGAGCGTGAACTGACATTTTTACATTTTTAAGAGTGATAATCAGTTTGGTTAAGGTGGGGGACTTAGCACTATGGGACTAAAATGAGAAGTTTTGATTATGTGTGTCTTTTTATTCTTTCTGGCCCAGGCAGCTCAGATGACCCAGAGTTAGTCTTGTCAAATATTACATGGACATACTCTTAAAAAAATTCATTATTTATCTGAATAAGCAGTTTATTTAAATTATTCTAATTTGAATTTAAGCATCCTGTATTTTATTTGGCAGCCCTACTCAGAGTTTAATTTTTATAAATTGAAACTTCCTTACTTCCTTTTTGCACAGAGAATGAGTTGGCCTAAAGCAGTGATTCTGAAAGTGTGGTTCCCCGGACCACTAGCATCAGCATTTCCTAGGAACTTGTTAGAAATATAAATTCTCAGGTACCATCCCCAACCTGCAGAGTCAGAAACTCTTCAGGTGGAGCTAGTCTATGTTTTGACCAGCCTTCAATAAAATATATTTAAAAAAAAAAAAAAGAAATATAAATTCTCAGGTACCATCCCAAACCTGCAGAGTCAGAAACTCTTCAGGTGGAGCTAGTCTATGTTTTGACCAGCCTGCCAGTTGATTCTGAAGCAGCTCAAATTTGGAAAATGCTGGCTGGGTGGCTAGGAGCACAGACTGTGGAGCCAGACCATCCAAGTTCAAATCCTGACATTGATGCTTACTAGCTCGGTGACTTGGGGCAAGGCCCTTAATCCCTTCCAGGCCCTGTACCTCTTGCTAGGATTGTTGTGAAGATTAAGAGGTGTACGGTACTGAGAACACAGTGTCAGGGACCCCAGCAAGCTGAAGCAGACGCTTCAGCTGTTACTCTCTGTTCTTCTCCAGTTCTCCCTATTGACCTGCTGTCTCTTTAGCACAGTGGTTCTCAACCTTGGCTGCACATTAGAATCACCTGGGAATCTTTTTAAAATCCTGAATTCTGGGCCTATCCTCCGGAAAATTCTGTTTCTTTTGTTACTAATGTTGTGGACCCACCCCATAACAAAGAAACAGAATTTCTGGAGGATGAGGCCCAGAATTCAGGATTTTAAAAAGATTCCCAGGTGATTCTAATGTGCAGCCAAGGTTGAGAACCACTGCCTTAGAGGCCTCTGACAATGAGATTATTGTTATTCCCCCAAATGGTACTTCAGTAGGGAAGATAGGATTCGGGTTGTTTATTGCACCATTATTTGGGGCAGGGGATGTCCAGGGGGGGTAAATGGGGATAGGAAAGCCAGAAGAGGCCAGGCTAAATTATGGCTGCAAGGCATAAGATAATTTTTCTTCTCCTTTTTCTTTTTCCTTTTTTTTGTTTTGTTTCGTTTTGTTATGTTGTGTTTTTAGGTAAGCCTTTAGTTTTGTGACCTTAAAAGGAATAGTGAACTGGACCCAGCTTTTACTTGTGGACTGGTGACTCTGTAACCCCTGTTTGTGTGCAGGCAGGCTACCAAATTACCCAGCAGAGGCTCCCAGTCGCTGTGAAGGGCAGCTTGGCGTACAGCATCTGTGTGGGGAAGAAGCGGAATCAGGTGATCAACAAGACAGTGAGGATCAAGCAGATCCAGCTGGAGCAAGACAGTGGCAAGAGCCTTCACGATGACCTGCGGTCCCAGACGCTCATTGACTTGAACAGGGCTGGTAGGCTTAGAGATTCTCCATTAGTTTTCCTCACAGTCTCCCCTCTCCCCTCCAGTTTTCCCAAACAAATTGAGGACACAGGCCCAGAAGCCTGACAGGTGGAGATCAGAATATCCACATTGGTACCAACACAGGTGATTAGAGAACTGTGATTACTATTGGGCTTGCTAACAATCCACCCCTAACACGAGACAAACGTAGCCGCCTCGTCAGACCCAACAGCTTGATATCTTAAGCTGACTTTAAAAGAAATGATCCAAAGTTAAAGATTAAAAAGTGAGGAAAGAGAGAGAAGCAATTCTGAGGCTAGGACCCACTTTGAGAGTCCTTCAGTGATGCATGGTTTTCCAAAGACTTCAGCCTAATTTATCTGCTGATCAGATTGGAGAGCTCAGTCAGGCTGACTCTGCCTCTCATTGGTAGGAGTGGGCCTTCTGGAAGTGGTCCTGGAGCCCGATATGTCCTGTGGAGAAGAGGCAGCAACAGCTGTCAGGGAGCTGCAGCTGATACTTCAAGCCCTGGGGACCAGCCAGGCAAACATGGCAGGTACAAGCTCACAAGCAGTGTCCCTCCTATACCTCCTTCCTTTCTGCTTCTCGGGTCTCTGCACTTAAGTTTTATTCTCCATCAGCTGCTTTGAGGTGGTTTACATCCTTTTTCCAGCTTTTTACATTCCTAATTGTTTTGTTTGTGTTTTTTTAGAATTTTCCTTGGATTCTTTTCTGAGCCCCCTAAACACACTAACAACAAGGGTACAGAGGCCCTGGTTCCAACCGTGTGAGATTAGGAGTCACAAGAGTAGATGCTCTGTCTGGCTTCATGCATCAGAATGTTGTGAGGGTTGATGAAATAATGTGTTTGGATGGTTTCACCTTTCTCAGTGAGAAGACACTGTTTATCCAGAATAACTCAGTTTGTGAGAGCTGTGTGGGTGGCACTTCTTTGTTAGTTGATGCCTTTTCTTTTGGTCTTTCTTTTCTTGCTTCTGGAGAATTTTCATCCATGTGCAGCTGAAGCCAAATTATATAAACTATAAGCCAAGGTTATGATTTCACTAAACTTTAACTTTGAGATAAAATCTTCAATTCAATAGAAATTAAGGTAAACAAGAAAACCCACTTGTATCCTTGGGACCAAACAAACTCTGCATTTTAAGTATTTGTACATTTGACATAAGATTACAAGTTCCTGTCAAGTTCAGTTTCTTCATGGCTTGCTCCCTTGGCCCCTTCCTCGTGCTGCTTTGCTGGCCCGGAAGTCCCTGAAAGCTAGTCTCTCCCGTGGTTTTCTTCCTATTTTCTGTTCCCAGAGGCTTTTTAAAAATCTTCTGCCACCAACAGAGCACTCCCTTACAGAGTGGGGAGGGGATACAGATTCTGCATGTACAGTTGTTCATCTGAGATCACTGCAGTGGTGTAGTAGGGTTCTCCAGAGAAACAGGACCAGTGGAATGTGTGTACTAGTATGTTACGCATGTGTGTTTGTATCTAATGACATTTATTGTAAGGAACTGGCTCACATGATCATGGAGGCTGAGAAGTTCCAAGATCTAGTCAGGAAGCTGCGGGAGAGCTCTTGCAAGAGCGCAAGCTCCAGGGGAGCGGATAGGGCAGTCCAGTTCAGGTCCACAGGCCTGAGGACCCTTGGAGAGCTGATGGTGTTCCAGTCTGAGCCAAGTCCAAAGGCAGGAGACCAATATCCCAGCTCAAAGGCAGTCAGGCAGAGAGACTGAATCCCCCCACTCTGCCTTTTGTTCTGTTTAGGCCTCCCATGAATTGAATGGCACCCACCCACAGTGGGGAAGCAGTCTGCTTTACTCAGTCTGTGGATTCAAATGGTAATCTCATCCAGAAGCACCCTTGCAGACACACCCAGAATAATGTTTAACCAAATATCTGGGTACCCCATGACCCAGTCAAGTTGACGTAGCATCAGCCAACACGAGTGGTCACAGTGAGTGCCCGTAAATACCTCTGATAGTGATGATTCGTCTCCCTGCCAGTTTGTGATGCTGTTTACCAACCTTTTCATGTCATGCAATATAGTTGTATTCTACAAAAAAAAGACTTCTGAATTCATAATGCCACATTTGTCACATAAGACATCTTACAAGCAATAAATTGTTATATCTGAGCCCTGGTACAAGTTGAATCTGAAGATAGAACTTGCCTATTTGGTATCTTCCTTAAGCTAATGATTGGAAAAACACTAGCCACATGAGTGAGTGGCTTAAAGGTTAGCTGCCTGCAAGTTTGCTTTAGAGAAACAAGGCTTTGTTTTAGAATAATAAAACTCTCCGTTTTAGATTTATGGCTCATGCTGCTTTTACCCACAGAACATAAGTGAAATATGGGCAGGTTGGATGGTTATTCATTCATGCACTAAGTGTTAATTCTCTGTTGCTTTAAAAAAAAGTTTTTATTATTCCATTCTTCTTCAAAATAACTGATTTCTACCAAACTTATGGAATAATAAACAGGCCACCTGTTAGCTAAGAAGTAACCCCATCTGGGTCCTTGCCAAGAGATAAACCATATCGGCAAGAACGCATCAATTCAGTGACAGCTGAGAGGATTCATTAAATGGCATTTGTGTGATATTTTTTATTGCTTTTAAAAAACCGAAGTTTTGCCCATAGCACAGCAGCAGAGTGGCTGTGGTGGTCCCAAAGTGCTGTGGGGAGGGTCCAAAGTCTGTAGCGTCTGCAGGGGTCAGCCCCGACCCCTTTGCTCTCACCACCATGGGACCACTGTGTTGGCACTGGAGACTGCAGCCTAGGAACTGAGGGCTACTCTGGGGAGGACCAGTGGTCCCCAGGGTGCTTTGGGAATGACTCTTAAATTCCTCTGGGCTGTGATTCAATGAGTTCCTGATAGTTTTGCTGATGAGCATAGACCAGCTCAGCCTGGGTTCCAAAAGTCATTTCTTTCTCAGGGCTGTCTGCCACTGTGAGATCTTCAAAACAGTCTGTTGAGTTGAATTTGTACCTATGTAGACATGCAAAATGTTTCAGTGGTAATAATATTGTTCAGTTTGAACATGTGGCATGTGCTCATTGGTTCACTAAGCATTTTAAAAACTCATTTATCTCATTTAAACTTTATGACAATTCCTGAGAGATGTTTTTATGCCCGTTGTACAGGTGAGGAAAGTGAGGCTTAAGGAGGTTGGGTTATTTGCCCAAAGCTCACAACAAGTGACTGAGCTAGGATTTGAGCCCAGGTATGTCTGACTCCAGGAGCCTTTTCTTTAAGCACTGATCACACTGCCTCCTAGTGGCAACCACAGTAGATAGCTATCCTATATAATAAAAGCCTAATATGCTAAGTGTCCGGTCGTCCGTTCAACCAATCAAAGCATAATACTAATGATATGCTAAGGCTGCTCAACCGCTCGCTATGACGTGCACTGACCACCAGGGGGCAGACGCTCCAACCGGTAGGTTAGCTTGCTGCTGGGGTCCGGAAGATCAGGACTGAGCGAGTCTGGCCAGACACGCCCTGGAGCCCTCCTGCAGTCCCTACCCCACTGGCCAACCTCCCGCATCCCTCCCTGGCCCCGATTGTGTACCAGTGGAGTCCCTCCGCCTGGCCTGCACCCTCGCACAATCCGGGACCCCTTGGGGGATGTCGGAGAGCCAGTTTCGGCCCAATCCCGCAGGCCAGGTTGAGAGACCCCACTGGTGTACGAATATGTGCACCAGACCTCTAGTCTATCATAATTGCCATAGATAACTTTGAAAGATAGTATAGCAGAGCATGGGTACCATGGGTGCTCATGGCACTAAGGTCCCAGATCTGGAATGGAATCCTGTCCTACCACTTCTAGCTATAGGAACCTGGCAAGGTATTTGATTTCTCTGAACCTCACTTTCCACACTTAGAAAAATGAGTTCTCAAATAATTGTGTATGGAAAGGGAAAGGAAGAAACCAAAGAACAAAAAAACCATCCAAGTCTTCAGTTAGTTGGGGCAGCTGGATGGTGTCCCAGAGACAGGGAGATGATTTACTGAGACAGGGACAATTGGGAAAGGAGTAATTCTGTGGGAGAAAATCATTTTGAATGTTAAGTTTGAAATGCCTAAAGGGTGTCTAAGTGGCTTTGTCATTGAACTAGATTGTAGGGAATGAATGTGATAATGTGTATAAAACTTATCACAGGCCCCGACAAATAACCTGTGCTCACTATCTTAGGTATTTTTAACAATAGTAAGTAGTGTTACTTTTACAGAATCACCGCTCATTTTAGATGAATACACTTTGTGAAATGTGGTCACTTTTTCTCATTGTCGAACCTGGTTATTTAAGTTCTGGAGAGTATTCAGTGATCAGAATGAGATAGTTTAATAGACTTCTCACTAAATCCTCAGGCCCCTGCTGCTTACAGAAACAGCTTTCTGTCCTGATGTTATATTTCTGATGTGCGAATGTGTTTCAGGAAAAAATAATGTAACTGTACCATATCACTGTGCTCAGTGGTGTAGTTCTTTGGCTTTGCTGTTACAAATCTCTACTTCTAGAGGGTAGAAATTGAGCTTGATAGCATTCTCATGATATGTGAATAAAGGCCCTCCCTTGGTGTTGCAGAACCTGACTGGTAAGGCTTTTGTACACTTGAGGTGATTTAACTTAATTTGTTTGAAAGGTATTTTGTCTTCACTGGATAGAATGTCTTTTGTTAATGTTTGATGCCATATTTGAATCCAGGCTAGGGAATGCTCTTTCAACACTGCAGGATACTAAGTGATTCCTCTCAGACTTTTCTATAGCATGGTCATCTCTGGGAGAGACGGAAATTCATGCTTTTATTCCATTTCCAAATTAGAGTTCTAAATTGTGAAAGATGGTTTCGTTCTTAAAAGCAAGTGAGGTCCAATTCAGGGTTCCCTGAGTTCCAACAAAGTTGTCTCTCAAGTATTGAAATTTGGTTGAGTAGAGCTCAGCATACTGTGGAAGTTTTCCTTTGAGCTACATGGGCCTTTCAGATTATTCCAGCTGTAATTTAGTCCTACTTAGACGCAACTTTAGAATTTATCAGGAACCTGCTGTGAGACAGTAACCAGTCCACTTACTCATTGCTCAGGAAAACACCATAGTTTTGGCTTGTTCAATAAGGTATTAATTTATTGAACAATTACTATGTTCCAGACCCAGCTCTGGGTTCTGAATATAGCCATGCAAAGGATATTCACAAGCTTATGTTCATGAGGAAGGAAAATTCATTAACAAATAAAACAAAAGCAATTATAGTGATGAGTGCATTAAGGAAATAAATAGGGTGTCAAGGAAATTGAAGGCCTCTCAGGGGAGGCAACATTTATTTGAGACTTGAAGAATGAGTCCAAGCCCAGGCAGCATAGAGGGAGGGAATGAGCATTCTAGGAAAACGCTAAGGCAAAGTCCCTGCATGAGAAAAATCTCAGGATATGCTCGGAGTTAGCATAGTTAACAGCCACTGCAGGGAAAGCATAATGAGAGGCGAATGCAGCATCAAGTGAGGCTTGGGATAGATTACCGGTAATGGCAGGAAGTTGTTTGGGTTTCATTCCAAGTGCAGTGGGAAGCCCTCAAAGGGCTTTGAAGCAAGGGAATGACTTAGTCTTAGTCTATGTAACATTTTAGAAAAAACACTCTGTCTGCTTTGTGGAAAGTAGACTCAGAAGGGTAAGAGGAAGGAAGACCAGGTAAAAAGCTTGTCATCATTCAGATGGAAGATGATGCTTTTGTGGACAGGGCTGCTATCAGTAAAAATGAAAAGATCAAGACAGATAGGTTCAAGATGGCTTTTTGAAATAAGAGGATTTGTTAACAGGCTGGAATGGAAGCCAAGGGACAAGAAGAAATCAAAGATGCCTTTTAGGAAGGCTGAGGAGCTAGGTCAGTGATGGTGAACCTATGACACGCGTGTCAGAGGTGACACGTGAACTCATTTTTTTGGTTGATTTTTCTTTGTTAAATGGCATTTAAATATATAAAATAAATATCAAAAATATAAATCTTTGTTTTACTATGGTTGCAAAGATCAAAAAATTTCTATATGTGACACGGCACCAGAGTTAAGTTAGGGTTTTTCAAAATGCTGACACGCTGAGCTCAAAAGGTTCGCCATCACTGAGCTAGGTGGTGGTGCTATTTATTGAAATTGCAAAAGTGAGGACAAGAATGGCTTTTGTGGGGTTGGGGGGCAAGTCAGGATTTAGTTTCAGAAATTGAAATACCTTTAAGACCTCCAAGTAGAGGTGTCAAGTAGACTTTGGATATCAATGAGGAGCTCCGAATAGAGTTCTGGGCTGAGGAGATCAATTTAGGAGTCATCAGCAATAGATGGTATATAAAACATATACCCCTACAGCAAGAGTATAAGCAAAGAAGACAGTCCTAAGAGTTTGAATGGGAAAGAAAGCACCAGCAAATAAAGTGGAAATGGAATCTCCCAGGGTGGCCGGAGGGAAATCGAGAGCACTTAAGGCTGCAGGAGCTGAGAGAGGACGCTATTTCAGGAAGGAAGGATTAGTCAGTATGTCATGTGTGGCTGAGGTATCCCATAAGGGGAAGAGAGAACATGTCCTTTGTCCACTGGATTTGGCGGCAGGAGGTTGTTGGTGACTTTGTGTAGGCATTTTCCCAGAGGAGGAGATAGAAGCCAAGCTGAGCTGGGTTTAGAATTAAATGGGAGGTGAGATCATGGAGACAATACGTGCAACAAACAAAACTTGTTTGCGACGATTTGTTGAAAGGAAAGTAGAGAAATGGTAGCTGAATGACGGAGAGAGAATTGGATTCAGGAGAGCAGGGCTTTGGTTTTGGGTTTTGTTTTTTTAATGAAAAATATTACATATGTATATATCAGAAGTAGTGCTGAGAAAGGGAGGTTAATGACTGATGTGAGAAGGAGGTGACTGAAAGAGTGATGTCCTTGGGAAGGCAAGAGTGGTGGGAATATAAAAGCTGGGCCCATTTTTAAAAGGCCTGCCATTCTGGTCTTAAAGATAAGATTAGTTCAAAATACACTGTAGACATGTGCTAGATCCTGTAGTATTGGTTGTGTACGTTCTAATAATGCAGGGGAGCCAGCAGTGGAGGCCAGCTTATTGATAAGGGGTTTTAAGGAGAAGGTGGTAACACTCAAGTGGGACCTTGAAGGATGAGCAGAGGTTGAAGAAGGGACAGTCACACTGATGAAGAGAGTGCGTGGGAGCCAGCAGTGCAGACAGGAACTTGTATGAAGAGAGCTCCCCTGATTGGAGGAGAGCTTTCTCATGGAATGCCTAGTGGGGAAATGAGGGTAGTGTCAGCCAAGACCAGATGAGGGCTCTTGAATACCAAGCAGAGGAGACGAGTCGATCCAATAGGAGCTGGCTGTGCACTTGAGCAAGCAAAGGGAATGCTGAACATGACTTTGTGGGAGGATGAAAGTCAGAGCTGTACCCAGGTGGCTGGACAAGGAGGGGTTGAGGGGTTGGTTGCTGTATTAAAAGTCTAGATGCAATTCTGTCATCTGGGCTTGAAGCCCCGAGGCCTCAGGCGGGGGTGGCAACAGTGGAAATGGAGAGGTAGTAACAGGTATGAGGAATATTTGGAGGGAAGAACTGATAGGATTTAGTTATCAGTTTGGATATAAAGGACAAAGAAAACAAAAGCAGAAGATGACTTCAAGGTCCCCAGACAGAGAGTCTGATGATGTCAGGAATAGTTGGAACTTTTTGAGATTTGGGTAAGCACAAATTGTCCAAAAGGAGCTACAGGATTTTGTAAAAGTCTTGAGATGTCCAGACTGGAGACATAGAGTAATTTCCAAACTGAAAGGCACCTGTTCCCTGACTGTCAGCATGGGGGGAGTTGCATTAGCAGGGAGGGTGAGCTCTTCCCTTTCCTGTGGGAATGAGTGAAGAGCTGGGCAAGCAGCAGCCTGCCCTTGGTCTCCAGCTTGGAGAGTGAGCCCCACAGCCCAGCTCTGAGGCAGTGACAGAGACCAGTGCCTAGGGCAGTGATGGCGAACCTTTTGAGCTCGGCATGTCAGCATTTTGAAAAACCCTAACTTAACTCTGGTGCCGTGTCACATATAGAAATTTTTTGATCTTTGCAACCATAGTAAAACAAAGATTTATATTTTTGATATTTATTTTATATATTTAAATGCCATTTAACAAAGAAAAATCAACCAAAAAAATGAGTTCGCGTGTCACCTCTAACACGCGTGTCATAGGTTTGCCATCACTGCCCTAGGGTCTCCTTTCTTGGCATGGAATTTATTCACACCATTTAATTATTTTAATATGTATTTGCTATGGAATCTGGGAAAATTCATTTCTTTATTCAGCCTATCAGAACACTTAGGTTTGGCAGATTATTTTTCAATTTAAAAACCTGCCTACGAAAATAAAAATTCAGCATCTTGTCTTCTTATTCTGTCCCATTTTAAATATTGTAAGTGAAATTGGGAAACAGAATTTGAGCTTTACTTTGTAGGGTATAAGACCTAAGTGTTTCTTAACTTCACCTCCCTATTTGTCTTGGAACTTTGCCTCCCTCTCCTCCTCAAGAGCCTCTTAGTCCTCTCCACAAAGCACCTGCTTCCTTTTGGGTTATTACTCCTAATCTAAAGGGGCTTTCAGGGTCAGAGAAGGTCCTCCCAGGTTGGGGACACCTCCCTCTGAGTCTCACGACAGACTCCGCGTCTAAACAGCTCTGTCCACTGCAGCAGATCCTTACCGCAGCCAGAGAGGATTCAGAGTCCTGTCTAGAAGGAGGGGATTGTTACAGTGCCGGAGGAGGGAAAATGCCCAAGTTCTGCTCTCGCCCTTGAGCTTTAAATTCTCAAGGACTCTCTTATTAATCTCCCAGAATCACTGTTGGAAATCCCCATTCCTTTGGAGAGCATGTAGGGTTATCAGATAGTCATTTCTGAGGCCTTCCCGACAAACTAGCTCTGACATTTTGAAAAAAGCTTGAGAATAGAACTGCTGAGTAAATCTCCATTTTAACAGTGTGCTTTTTTTTTTACTTGGCACAAAAGGAATGAGATGTCCCCAGCTGGTGTATCCAGAATTTCTCCTCTCTCTGCGTGTGCACAAGTGCACACAAATACATACATATACATGCACACACTTGAGATGCTTTGGGGCCAGGATTCTCTTATGCAGACAGAAGTGCCAGTCATGTGCTTCAGAACCAATGTTCCTTCTCTAAGGTTAGGTTGCTATCACTAAAAAGCAAGTAGAGTTAGATATTGCTTGCCTAGACACTTTCCTGCCTTTTAGACCATGTTGCCTCAGAGAATTTCTAAAGAATTGTCTTTTTTTCTCTTTTCAGAGGGCCAGTTGAGGGTGGATGCTAATATATCTGTGCATCGCCCTGGGGAGCCTTTGGGTGTTCGAACTGAAGTGAAGAATCTCAACAGTGCCAGGTTCTTGGCCAAAGCAATAGGTGAATGTCAGCTGTTACTCCTAATTGTACCTCTCTGTGTCCATTATCTATTGCTGTGTAACAAACTACCCCAAACCTTAGTGGCTTGTATAGTAACTTTCAGTTTCCATGGTTTTTTGCACTTGTGCACTGGGTGGTTTTGCGGCTGTCCTGCCTCAGCTCCTTGATGTGACTGTGGAAGCTGGCAGCCCTTTGGGGCCTTGGTGCTGGATGTATGCTAGGCTTCTCTATCCACTTGGTCTTTCTTCATTTGCTTGCCTAGCCTGGGCCTTCTTGTGTGGCTTCGGGGGATTCCAGGGAAGAACTCTTGATAGGCAGCAGTTCTAGACCTGCGGTCACTGGGCCTAGATAGTGGAGCCAGCCCTTTTTCTACCAAGCTGTGTAACCTGCACTGGGTCATTTAATCTCTCTGAACCCAAGTTTTCTCAAAAAGGGAGAGAGTAGAGTTTAATAAAAGACCCTTTTAAGCACCATAATTCTATGAAGGCAACAAAAAGAAAATACAATGTACAGTAGTCCCCCCCTTATCCACAGAGGATATATATTCCAAGACTCCCCATGGATGCCTGTAGCTGTGAATAGTACCCAAACCCTATACTATGTTTTTTTCTATACATATCTATGATTTAATTTATAGATTAGGCACAGTAAGATTAACAATAATAAGTAATACTAAAATAGAATAATTATAAAACTATACTATGATAAGTTATATGGATGTGATGTCAGTCTGTCTTTCTTAAAATATCTTATACAGTACTGTACGCACCCTTGACTTGTGATGATGTGAGATGATACAATGCCTAGTGCAGTGAAGGAGGTGAACGACATAGGCACTGTGATGTAGCCTTAGGCTACTGTTGACCTTCTGAGGATACATCAGAAGGAGAATCCTCCCCTTTGAGTCATCCTGGGTCATATGTTGATGGTTGGATGTCAGGAGCACACATTGTCTGAGACTGAGGAAATTTAACCTTGGACTGTGGTTGAATTCAGGTATCTGAAACCAGAGAGTGAAACCATGGATAAGGAGGGAGTTGCATAAAGGAAGAATTATTATATATGATTCTGTTGACTATTTTTTGTTAAATATTTAAAAAGTTTTTTAAAAATTGCTTGGCTGGATGAAAGGAATAAAAAAATATGTTACTAAATTACTGTGTTTTTCTTAGACTATGAAATTCAGAGGCAAATCGAAGAACTTGAGAATGGAGGAGAAATTCTGAATGAAACTCGCTCCTTTGATTACAAGCTGGGGTGAGTCTGCATTGACAGACGTCTTGAGTGCAGCTGGGTGGGACTCCAGTCTGGGCTCACCGCAGATCAGCCATGTGACTGTGAAAAAGGTGCTTAGCTTCTCTGCAGTTCCATTTCCTCATTAGTAAAGTTAGGAAAATACTATGTCCTACGAGGTTATAATACACCCCGCAGGGCTGGTAAAAGGTTTAAACTGAACCAGTTACATAGTGCTTAGTCCTTGGTCCTGGCTCTTCCCTTGCTTCCAGGTTACCTGCTTTGCGGCAAGAATTTTTATTTCCTCAAATTCTATCAGACGAAAGCTCTACCAATTTAAGCTAGAGGTAGAAGAAAGTTTAGAGCTGGTCATAGAGGTTCCTTTTTTTGTTTAGATAACATTGACTTTAATTTTCTAAATCAGAAATTTTGCAGTCTTATACTTTTAGCAGAAGATCAAACAAAGTGCAAAAGCCTAGACTTAGAGCTGGTTAAAAGCTGGAAGCATTGAAGCAATTTCTTTTTTTTTAATTAGCATTCTAAACATTTTTCTTTTTTAATATTATTTTTAATGTATTCATAAAATGTCTCCCAAGGAAAGCTGAAGAGCTTGAATCTGCCTGTGCCCCTTATTGACAGGGAATCCCCTCTCTGCGTGTGTGCCAGCCAGTGCCGCATGCAATATTCATTTAATGTTTTCTTACTTAACTATTGTAGATGCACCGTGCCGATGAGAGACAAAGAAGGAAAGCAAGACTACAGGTGATTACTCCCCTTATCAAAACAGCTTTGTGTATTTGGGGTTAGGGGCGTATTTCAAATCCACTAATAATTTTTAGGAACCACTTTTTGTTATTGTTGCCTGATGGAAAATCTAGACTTCCTCTTTTATTGAATACTGAGAGAAAGAATAGATTCTTAATTGGGTTGCCTTGGAATGACTTATTAGATAGGATTCAACTGTTGGAAGATGCTTGCTCCCCCACTTCTGTGTGAGAGTTGCTATAATTCAGGGGTGGGGAACCTTTTTTCTGCCAAGGGCCATTTGGGTATTTATAACATCATTCACAGGCCATACAAAATTACCACCTTAAAAATTAGCTTGCTATATTTGGTCAAACCTTTAATTAACTCACCCCTTGTGCCTTGGCAGGGCCAGACCAAATGATTTCCCGTCCCTTGTATGGCCCTTGAGGGCTGGACATTCCCCACCCCTGCTGATTGAACCCAGAAGATGGCAGTTGAGGATAGGTCCTAGCCTGTTCTTATTCCTACATTCAGTAACAAGTTCAATAAGGCACTGAAGTTCCTTGAGAAGAAATGAAAAAAGAGATGTATATGCTCCTGGCATTTCCCTTCAAACCTCAGGTGATGCTGTTTAATTGATAAGTTGGACTTAATATGAGATTCAGAAATAAAGCAAGAAATAAAGATACGCTTAAGCTAACTTAAACCTTTCATTTATTTCCCCATTGAGTTTAGCTGATTGCAAAGGTTGAAGTGTTACACATCAAAGTTGTTGAGGGTAGCCCACTCTCCTTCATTATGTGCAGAAAGATGTAGTAAGAGCAGCTCCTGCTGTCAGTGAGGGACAAGTGTGGTGTCATGTGGGAAAGAAGCAGCTCATAAACCCTTAGAGTGAACTTCACCTCAAGGACGCCTCTCATGGTGTCTGAATGGCTTTAATTACTGTGATCTTCTGGGTTCAGTCTGTTCTTCTCAAGAACGTTTGTCTTCCAGTGTTGCCCCCACTCTGTTTCTGCTGCTTTCTGACCGAGCATGGAATAGAGTTAGAGTTTAGCTAGTGGCTTTAGCTCAGTCCCCAGGTTAATAGACAGGAGTCCCTCTTACCTTCAGAAGTCGGATTGATTCATAGCACAGATCTGGCATCAAGGTGATGGGTTGCTTGCACTTCAATCTGTTACCTCGGAGTCACCATTTGTTCTGCGTTTCCTGCATCTGCATAAACCCTTTGACAGGTATAAGCAGAGAGAAAATGATCGATGCTGGAATAATACGGAGGGATTATATGCAGTGGTGCAGCTTTCACATTTTAAAAATATTAACAATTTTTAGAGCAGTCTTAGGTTTATTGCAGAGTTGAATGGAATTACAGAGTTCCTCTATGTTCCATGATATGTACCACATACCATGTACTTGTCCTTTCCCCCATAGTTTTCTCCTGCATATATATGGAATGTGGTACATTTGTTACAATCAATGAACTGAAATTGATACCTTATTATTAACTAAAATTCATAGTTTACATTAGGGTTCACTCTTTATGTTGGACATTCTGTGGTTTTGGACAAATGTATAAAGACATGTATCCACCCTTACAGTGTCATACATAGTTTCACTGTCCTAAAAATCTTATCTGTACTTAACTCACCCCTCCTCCTCTCTCTCCCCTCCATTCATTGCTTCTGCTTCTCAAGAAAATGTTTTCTTATTCTTTGACTTTTCGTTAATTACACAACTACAAAAAATAGTGAAAATTTTAAAAGGGGGGAAGTCATCTATCTTTCTCCCTAATAAGTTGTTCTTGTTTGCTCATATGTCTTCATGAATATACTAGAGGCCCAGTGCAGAAATTCGTGCACGGGTAGGGTCTCTAGTGGCTGCCAGCCGGGGCCTCCCTTCCCCTGCTGCTGGCTGCTGGCCAGGGCCTTCCTTCGTTCGCGCCACCCCCTGGTGGTCAGCACACATTATAGCGAGTGATGGAACTCCCAGTTGGTCGAACTCCCGAGGGGACACTTTGCATATTAGGCTTTTATATATAGGTAGATACTTTATCCACGAGTATGCATCACAGCATGTCATGAACGGTGCTGTGCCTTTTTCATTCATCACTAGTTCATAAGCATGGGAATCAGCAGGGTTGGTGTTTCTAGCTGTGGTTTACACTTGTGCACAGATTGGTTCCCAGGAAACAAGGGGCCAATGTTGATATTGTAAGATAATAGAAAATATATGCAGGTGACATGGCCTCTCTATACAGAAACTTTCCTATGGATAATTGGGTTTTTCTTATCAAACTAAATACATCAGTGTCAGACCCTGTATCCTTTCTGCCTAGGTTTATTCCCGAGCCCAACCTGCCTCCCCTGCTACTCTACGACTCAGCCTCTCTGCCTGCTGGCGTGGACCCACAGCAAGTGATCAATATCGACCAGCTTCGAGAGCAGCTCCCTGAGCTCCCCAGTGTGACCCGGGAGAAGCTCGTCCAGCAGTATGGGATGCTGCCGGAACACAGCCTCACCTTGCTGGTAGGTGTGGATCAGAGGCTTGAATAAGCCAGCTCAGCAGTTGGGGAAGGCTGTACATTGGGCTCTGATGGAGCGGGCGGATTGCCTCCGTTGTACGAAAGATGCTCCTGGGCAGAACAAGGCTTGATAACCTTCGCTCACTCCCCTTCATGATAAATGCGCCTCATAAAACCGGAAGCATAATCTCATATCTCTTGTCTCCTGTGTAGAAAGGAGCGGCTGCTCAGAGCAGCAGTGGAGGCTTCTTGAAGAGCAAATGTTATGGGCGAGCGTTTTCCCCTGTGTCTGTAGGACAAAGGAAAATCTATGTATAGAGTTTCCAGCAGTATTGAACCATGACAGGGCCTGGCAGGAAGTTAGGTTCTCAAAACCCAGCCAGTTGTTTTACCAAGTGTAGAAGAAAACATTTATTCTACACGACATGCTGAAAACTCTGACTAAAAATATCGGTCCTTTGAGGCTTGAGGATGCGTCTGAAAGAGGCATGAGAGAATCTGACACCATTGAGGTCTGTGTAGGGATTTTCCCATCCTTTTCACTGCTGCTAGGGGCTTTGCAGTCTTCTTCGTCATGGCAACATGAAAGTGATCCGGCACCAGTGAGTATAGCGTTCTGTCACAGTTGTCTTCTTGTCTGTCGGGGAGGAAGCAGAGCATTCTGTTGCTGCTGCTTTTAGGGACCAGGTGTATGCCACACTTATCTTTTGGGGCAGCAGAATCTAGCGAAATTCTGGATTTTTGCAATTTAATTGACCAATAATAAATATCTGGGGATGTTAGGATATACACATTTCTATGTAAATTTATACAGTTCAGTAACAGCAACCAGCCATTTCTGATGCAAGGTAGGCAATCAAATGTTTGTTGAATGAATGATTTTTCTCTTTATTGTCTATAAATCAGTTAATTTGACAAGTATCTACAGTGTCATGTGAAAACTCCTTTTTTACTACCAATAATGATTAGGCATGATCTTTTTTTTTTTTTTTTCATTCCATAGGCATAGTTGAGCATTGTTTCTTATAGGCTGTCTGTATATTTTACTCCTGCCTCTGTGGCTCCTATGTTGCTGTATTTTGATTATTTATTGGTGTGTCTTGCTCAGCACCTTGAAGGCAAGGACGGTTGCATCCTTACCCTCCCCGTTCCTCAGCATGGTGAGCACAGCAGCAGTGCCTAAAGCCACATCTGTGTATGAGTCTGTTAGCCAGCATCTCGTACAGAACACCTTTCACTTGCATTTTTCCTGAGTTGATTTAACAGAACTGAGATTCAGTCTTTCACATATTCCCCACCATCTTGATCACTTGACTTTTCAGAAAAAAAAACTAAATTCCCAGAATAAAAACAAAATGCTAAATTTCCATCCTGCATTTTCTGACGTATTGCCAAATTCTGTAGGGGATTGGAGGACAAGGGCCAAGACTACTCCGCCTGCAGACATCAGTTACCTCTCACCACTTGGCGTCCTGCCAGGTGGACAGAGGCCACTACTGGAGGTAGTGAATGATGAACCTGGGTTACTTGGCCATGTTTTTTCCAAGACTGATTTCGGAGAAGAATCCACTTACCATTCTACTATTTGCGGGTATCAGCTTCTTCATGAGAGAAGTGAAAGGACCCTTCTGCATCTTCTCTCGAGACTATGGCTCATTCTCTGAGGCACTGTCTGAAAACAGATGCTCCCTCCAGAGAGCATCTCCATAGGATTGTCACCCTCCGCCTCTGAGGAGCATGCTATGTGTTCTCCGAGGGCAGGACATTTTCACACTCCTGTTTGTGTCCCTGCCTCCCCTCTTGTGTCCTTCCTGGTGCTAGAACCCAGGAGTCCTTGAGTAAATGTTTGCTGAGGGGTGGCAAGTCTGTTTTCATAGTGGAAGGCCCCTTTAGGGAAACTTACCTTTGATCTATTTAGTTCAACACTTCATTAGCATCTCCTATGTAGCAGGTACTGAGCCAGAGCCAAAGTTTCAAAAAAAGATGTTTTCTTTGCTTTCTGAGAGCTTATTTATGGGCACACACTACAGGTACCCAGCCCCTGGGACAGGTTGCAGAATATAATGTGTAATGTGGAAGGGAGCGCGGAGGAGGTGGTGATTGCCATGATTAGGACAAAAGGGGAAACCCTCAAGAAGAAGATGATTTCTTGAGCCATTTTTGAAGGGACTCATTTTTTGATATCTTAAAAATATGCATATTTTTATAGCTTGAAAATAGCATGAGGTGATTTGGGTTTTTTAAGGGCTGTTACTTGAAATCTTCAAGATGGGGAAGAAGAGACTTGATAGGAATGGAAAGAGAATGATTCAGACAAATTAGGCATCCTGAGCTCTTTATGACTTTGTAATCATTGGAAGCTGAGTTACTCATAACATATCCGACAATGATATGTTCGTGTTTTTCTCTGCCTTCATCAGAAACAACAGATTGCTGAGAAGGGCAGATGCACAAATCTAATGAACCATCTTTTCAATTTAAAGAGTGCCCAGGAGTATTCATTAAGTAAATAGCAGTGGTGGAGGTGTGCTTTGCAGAGCTTCAGCTGCATGCTCCCTGCCTTCGCGTTGCTTATTAAATTAAGCATTGAGCACATACCCGCCCCACACACACATGCCTTACCCACAAATAATAACTTCAGAATTTAACTCTAGTCTTTAATTTATCTTGTCATTTTACTGTGAGATAAGCACTGAATTATTTATGGTTAACTTATCCTTGATATTTATAGAATTCCAGTATTGTATCTCAACATCCAGCCAATGGCTGCACATAGTAGGCACTCATTGGATATTTGTTCAGTGAGGGGAGGATGGAAGAGCAAATGCATGGGATACTAGAACAGGGTTCATGAACTACTTCTTCCCGGGAGAAGTAGTGTTTCTGGTAAAAGCACCCATTTCCAAAGGTCAGATACATAAGCCACCCTTTTGACAACCAGCAAATCGTGGCATGATACCTGTGTCACTGAACTCTGGTGAGGAGAACTGGATTGCCACTTCATGCCACCTGAGACAGGTACAAGTCACTTGGTCTCTCTGACTCATTTTTTGAACTAGTTTCATTAGGACATGAAATCAAGTCTACATTCTGATTTTCTCCTTTAAAGCCTCCTGATATTCCCCTCCCAACAGACACCTGTCTTACTTTTTAGGTGACTGGAGGAAAAAATAGTATCTTGCTCCACCAGAAACTTTACCCTAGTTAGCTAACCTTGCTTGCCTAACTTAGGTCAAACTGCCTTGATTTCTGACCTCATTTGTAAGGACTCAGGAGTAGAAATGTGGAAGCTGAGATTCAGGTATTAGAAAAGGAAAGTTCTAATAGCATAGCAAGCCTTTCTCTGAGTCAGTATATCCAAGAGTAATTATTAGAATGATCGAGATTATATGCATGTGCATTTTTCTTGGCAAACAATCCCAGGGTGATCTCTACGGGGGCATCTCTTCCTAAACTCTGCCTTCCCTGACTCAGCGAATGCAAACAAATTGCAGTCATCTGCCTAAGCAGCACATAAAGTAGGCTGTTCACTTACAGTCCAGTCTGCATTTTACAGCGGCCCACTTTTTAATCTACCCCACAACATCCCTCTTAGGTGCATAGAGTTGTTCCACCCATTCTACAAGTGAGGAGACATCACCTCTGTGGCTGAGTATAAAGCATTAAGTAACTTTCCCAAGCCTGTGGGGGAGCCAGGGTCAGACCGGGGTCAGACCGGCTGACTTCAGGGCCCAGGCTCTTCATCTGTAAGCTCTACTGCCTGCCTGTACGCATAATGTGCCACATGCAAATAGAGATAATGTTTCAAGTTGTTTGCAGTTTTAGATCACTTAATAGAGAAAATAGAATTTTTACTCTTGTCAACATTAATACTGTGTCAGTCCCACTAAAGCTTCATGAAGCACAGTCATAAAAAAACATCAGTTCATTTCAAACTTTGACCACCCCTCTTATTTTTCAAGATAATAAATAGAAAGTGCTGTCTACTAAGTTTAGTGAAAATCAGTCAACTCCAAAGAAAAGCAGAAAGTATGTCCACTTTTCAAGTAGAAAACTTCAGTCAGAGTAGAAATGCAAGCTTTCCTATGCAGCTTTGTTTTCTAAACTTTCTCCATTAGATACTTGGCTCCTTCTGACTGAATCATCAAGAAGGGTCCAGGTAGGGCCAAGTGCATGGGGCTTGTGGATTTTGTGGGATGATCTTGCCTAGAACCTCAAGTTACGCAGCTCGGCACATGTGAGGAATGACATAAGGTCACGGTGACTGGCTGTGAATGAAATTGGTAGGCAGAAAAATTTCAGTCTCCTGTGTTATGGGAGGAATGGTATAACATCCCCAACTTAGTGTTTTTTGAGAGCCTGCTGTACTCGTTACATTCCCTTGCTATTGTCAACCGAGAGCTTTTATCTTTTCCATGTTGCTTTTAACTCTTGGGTAGCCCTACAAGGCAGTAGATTAAAATACCAACTAAGAGACAGACAGTCTTGATTCCAGGTCTCCTGTCTGACACTAGGAGCTGGGAGGGTTCTGCAGAGGTAACTGGAGCTGAAAGAGGAAGGGAATGACTTGCTTACCCCAAAGATGATAGGCACAGCAGAACCTCACTGAATCTTAAAAAAAAAAAAAAGTCTAAATACAGCCAAGCAAATTCCCAAGGATATGCTGCCAGAGCAAAGAATGCTGCTAACACACTGAGAACCATGCAGGGCAGATGCCAAGAAAAGCCCAGCATGGCCCAGGGAGGCTGTAGGAAAACACGATGGGGCCATTCACATCAGGGGCCTGTGCTGCCACACATGTGTGCCTGTTCTCGTATGCAGCTTCAAGAAGTGTAGGAGTCTTTGAACAACTTCATTTTCCCCAGCTGGTTATTCCCCGTTTAAAGTCATAATCCTTTGTTTCTGACATCATAGAAAGGTTAAGGTGTCTCCAAGGGACAAAGAAACAGCAGTGATATCATGACTATGGTTGATTGTTAAATGGATTGTTTTCCAAGAGTTTTG